GTAGTGCAAAAACAGAGAACAAAGAATATCACAAATAAAAATATTGCTAATTAGCAGGACATGGAGTGCAAAATATGAGCAGAAAATTAAACTTGACTGGACAGGTGAGCCTCAGCCTCATTGATGAACCTGTTGACTCACCTGTGCGTCCGCAGTGTCGCGGTTCTCCAGCCCCAGACTGACGCCCAGGCTGAGCAGGAAGAGGGCGCTCTCCATCTCTCCGCTGTCGGACGCCAGCATCGACCTCCAGACGATGATCCGCACCTCTCCCAACTCGCTGGTGGCCTACATCAACAACTCGCGCTCCAGCTCGGCTGCCAGCAGCTCCTACGGACACCTGTCGGTTGGAGGCCTCAGGTAACTCACCTGAAGGGACCTTATTTCCTTCCCTACCTCCTTGTTTTCCTCCCTACATCCTTATACCTTCTTCAATCCTTCTCTGTTTCCTGTCATACCTCCTGCTTCTGTCCCCTACTTCCTAGTTTCCTTCATTAACCATATGCTTGTTTTCGTCCCTACATTCCCACTTCCTCACAGTTTCCTTCTTTACTTTCCTTTTCCCTCCTCTGCCTCCTCATTCCTTTAGTTGCGTCCTCATTCAATCCCAAGTACAACCAGTAGGCTAACTTTATCGAGGACCGACGTGAATTTGAACGTCATGTTATCTTCTTGTTCTTTGCTCCTTGCAGCCCGTCCTTCCCCTTCCCTCATCCCATCAACCCCATGGCCTACCAACAGCTCCTCTCCCAGCAGCGGGGGCTCAGCGCCTTCGGTCACACTCCGCCTCTCATCCAACCTCCGCCCACCTTCTCCAGCCGTCAGCCCGGCCTCGGCCTCTCCTCCCTGCCCGCCCACAACAGCGACCTGTCGTCCAAGGTAAACACATTTAACACAGAATTATTTAGTGTTTTATCTCATTTTTTTTGTCCAAAGTTTGTCCGTATAAGGCACAAAAGAGTGTGCAAGCCTATGGAGGAAAAAAAGTGCAAAAAGATTTTTATGTTGGATGGAACATTTCTAAATATGTTAAAGTACATTTGCCATTTATTGGACGATATTTAAAAGTTGATTTAATCAAATTTATTTTTACAGTGTTTTACTCAATTGTATGTAAATATTTAGTGTACAAATATTTTAGCTATCATCCATAGATGGACAGTCGCCTTCAGCTTGTGTTGTAACATTTATAGGTTTAGATTTGTGTTTTTAACGCTCTCCTGCTATAATTTACATTATTTCTGTGTGGCTGAAGGAAAATCCCCATTCGCCCTTTAGGCATTTCTTGCTGGCAACTTCTGACGCAACTATTTAGCCAAACCTTGAATTTAGCTGTTCCACTGAGAGCTGTTTGTCCTCACAGTTTATCTTGTTTGCCATCACGTCTTTTGATGTCAGTGTTATCGCCTCCCCTTTGCTTGGCCATGGCGAACCGGTGTTTTGATTTGCGGCGTCGGCCTCAGCACGTGTAATCAGCAGTGTCCCCTCGGAGTTAAACTCTCGGTGGGGGAGACAGTTTCAAAAGGACCCATCATTTCCCTCCTCCCACACAAGTCCAAACGTTTCTCTCTTGTCCTGTCGGAAAGTTGAGTGACTCAGCCTGAAATTACACATGTATGTGAAAGCTCAATGAGTGCATAGGAAGGCACCAAGTTTAAGGTTGAATTTAAAATATAAAGCTCGTTCCACTTCCATTTATTTGGGAGGAAGGAATAGAAAATAAAATTTCTGTTTTATTTAATCATTTCAGTGTAACATTGGTAGTCACAAGCTTCCATACAATCCACTGTAATGACTGTATTTATGTTTTAAATGAAGTGTCCAGATATTCTATATTTTGATCTTTCCTTTATTTCTCTCCTCAGAACCTCAGCAGCGACTCGGCAGTCAGCAGCACAGTTGACCCCATGATCACCAAAAGGTCAAAGGTCAAGACTGAAGCAGAGGGGTTGAGGCCGCTGTCTCCTTGTTCACCGGTATGAAATATTTTTCTATATATATTTTTAGGAAGATTGTGACATCTTGGAAAGTGAGGAATGTTTGCTTTTTTTTTTTTTTTAACATGTTTCTAAAGTCAGGGGGATTTCAAGTCAGGATATTTTTAGTTTTTTAGTTCCTTTTTATAATTTTATTATTTTTGGAAAGTGAGATTTTTTTTCCAAAATCTGATTTCCAAAGTCTGGGAGATGTTTGGAAAGTTGGGACATAATTGCAATAAGAGGACATTTGAAAGCAGTACTGAAAGTCAAAGTATCGTCCAAAGAGCGCACAGTTTTGATATGTGGTTATAGATGTTTTGGTGATTCCAAACATTTCCTGTAAAGTCAGAACATTTTGGTAAAGACAGTTTCGAGAAGCGTTTTTGGAAAGCAACCTTTTGGACATTGAGGACGTTTGTAAAAAGTGATGTTTTCTTGCCATTTGCTCCTTCGTATCCTGATCTGCGGCGTGACTCGCGACCCCAGGGAGCCGCAGCCTCCTGTGACCCCCTTGTAAAAGGCGTCTGGGATAAAGAAAAACTCCACATGATAAGAGCTTTGCATCCATTCGTTTGGTGGCTCCGGCTCCCCTCCTCTCTCCCGCTCCCTGGCCACTGTAAACTGTGCCAGAGCACTTCATTTTCATGAAATATTGGCCGGGCTTTATTGTCATCTGAGGAGCCTTTTTCTCTTTCTTTTGACAAATTTGCGGCTCCTCTCCGATAGCGAGGCAGGTTTGGGCTTGATGCATGGGGACGGTGGTGCGCGCAGTCGTCTTGGGGCCACCAGAATTGATGAAGATAGCGTGCGTGGGGCAGAGACAAACATGCTGCAGTCAGCACGTTGTGTGTGTGTAGGTGTGTGTGTGTCTTTGTGCCGGTGGAGGCGTACAGGAAGCCGGGTGGGACGAGCCATGTGTCAGTTTTTGTCTTACACATGCACGTGTGCTCTTGTACAGCTGTCTTTGGGAGGACAACTTGAGTTTAAGACACTGAGCGTGAAGACATTTGAAATGTGTAGTTTTGGAAAATGAGGACATTTATGTAATGACATGTAAGGAAGATTTATTAAGTGTGAAGACTAAGTGTGAAGTTTTTGAAGGGACATTTTATAATCCTGGCATTGTTTTCTTGGGGTGACATTTTGGAAAGTTTTTTTTAATTGATAATACATTTGGAAAGAAGGACAGCCTTTGAGTGTTTTTTTTTTCAGACCAGGGTAGTTTTGAAAAGTGAGGACATTTTGTCTGGTCGTCTGTGGTTGGAATTAGGTTTGATTTGAGTTTCCTCACAAGTACAGAAGCAAAAATGTCTCTGAAGTGTCGTGGGACACTCGTAGAGCTGAGACTTTATCATTTCTTAGACTTTCTTACACAGAACAGTTCCCACCTGTTGAAAGTGTCCCTGCAGTCTGCCTCTCTGATCGTTTTTGATCACGTTGTGGGATTTGTGTGTTTGGTTCGTTAAGGTTCACGCTATCTAATTAGAAGGGAACCAGCAGCTGTAAACAGAAGTCGTGTGTGTTTGTTGGTGGAGGTTGTCAAAACAAATCTGATTCCAACCTCTTTAACTTTACTGAAGCGTAATGGACTTGTGTGCACTTTAATCTGTAATTTACTGTCTCTGGTGTTCGTATCAGGTAAAACATATGAACAAACAGCTGAATATGAGTCCTTGCAGCTGTATTTTAGGCCTAAACGGTTCCACATGCTCGGTGCAAACACGCCTTGGAAGAAGAAAAGTTTATGCAAACCAACACGGAAAATCAATGAGAAAAACGGACTTGTTTTAGTTGCTTTTAACCAATTTCTGTAGCATATATACATAAAATGTTTGTTTGATCTGGGGTTCTCCACAGAACCATCACGGTAGCCTGCTGGACTTGAAGGACGATGTGGATCGGGACGAGTGTAAGCAGGAGCCGGAGGCCGTTTACGAGACTAACTGCCACTGGGAGGGCTGCAGCAAGGAGTACGACACGCAAGACCAGCTGGTCCACGTAGGTTCAGAATCCTTCCACGAACAGGAAACGTATCCTGTAACCTGCAGGAATCTAATCATACAAGGGAAACTAGCTTAAAAATCAGCACTTGTGAGCAATGCAACGTCTGAAAATTAAGCTTCTTGACTATTTATCTCGGTGTAGTTCTTTCTACAAAACACAGCTCAACGTGCATATATCCTACCCCAACCTGGGGATGCCGAGGTCACCAAAGCTTCACAGGGCGTTCCGACTAAACTGTTCTTTTTAAGGTTCAGATCATTATTTAGGATAAACAACCTGCGGCCTGTTGCAAGTTCAAACTCTTTACAACGTAAATTATTACTGACCTGTGATTTATGCATTGCTAAAATAAAAGTGGTTGCACCACAGAGATAAGCTGCAACATGACTAAGTAATGCGCTACGATGCCGAGTGGCAGCCCGAAAGCTATAATGCGCACGGTAACCATGGCGACGGGGTTGTCTTTGATAGCTGGTTGGCCACTTGCCTTAGTGATGACTTTACTGGTTATGTTTTTCCTGAAGTAATCGTGCTGCAACCAAGTTTAGAAGCTGATTTAGTTGCAAACTAACTAGCAGTTACTGAGCCTCTAGTGTCGACTTTACACCCTGAGGAGAGAATTTACACACAGCTGCTGCAACCCAGAGCTGAACACAGTCTATATCCACAGAGTGTCTGATAAACAGCCTCATCCTGCAGTGGAAAACACAAAGAGCTCATAGAACAATGAGAACAACCTGTTAAGTCTGTATGATAATAAAAAATCAAGAGAATTGGACAAAAAGTTCCTAAAAATATCAGAAAACTCATCTCTGATCGATATTCACAGGAAATAATCTGCTCAACATTCATCCAAACTTCCTGCAGTTACTGTGTTCACTGTTTGGGCTCATTGTACAGCTTATCAGCTGTTCTCTGATGTTATTGTTATTGTTATGCATTGAATATAATATGAAATATCCATAAAATATAGTCCATTTACTCTATATGATAGAAAAGAGTTACGTTGAGGAAAAGGTTACACATGAACTGCAACCAAATGTCAATCAACAGCAAATACACAACACACTTTTCCTTGTACTCTTGAAACTTGAATGGATAATTTTTCACTATTTTCAATAGGTTTCTTTTATTTATTCTATTTTACAGGAGGTGTATATTAAATTAGATTACGATTTTACAGCTTTATTGATGTTTACTACAGTATATTGTATACTATGCATTAGAAATAAGGTTTTCTTGAAACAAAAAAACAAATAGTGCCTCACAGGATTATCCTGATGTAATAACTGCTTCGTATCTGGTAGCTCTCGCCAGCAAAGTGATAGATTTTGCCAGTAAGTTGAGCCTGAGTCAAGACCGAACTCGGGGGAAACACTAAAGACACCTGGATAAAAAAAACGCCTCTGAATTAACATTTAAATCTTGCTTGTTTCCAACCGTCCTCTGACCTCCAAACCATCATCGCTCTTTCACAACAAGCAGGGTCTTGGTTAAAAGGGTCTTAAGCATTCCACACTTCCAGTGAAGCACAGAGAGAAAAGAGGGAGCAGGGTGAGGGGATTAGTGAGGGCCTGTGGGGGAGGGCTGCTGTCCATCATTCATTAAACTTAAATTCTTCTTTGCGTTTGAAGAAAATCGCACACGAAACCACCTCGCCGTCACCTCACCTCTGTGACTGTTCACGGACCTTTAAAGCTGCTATGCATTTTTGCGGCAACATCGGTGTTTCATTGTCGACATGGTTCTGATGCTTTGATGTGATTTCCTGTAAACAAATGAGACTGTGGTTCGAGATAATTGCCGGCGGTATTGTTGCAGTGCTATTGTCTTCTCCAAATTAAGACCACATTTCCCATAAACTTCCATTACTTCCTTTCTTCTCCTTGGCAGTGCTCCACTGGTTTTTCTCCTCAGATTTAAGGATAAACATGTAAGAAATAATTTTTCCATCGAACTTTCATGGATTTTTTTTTTGTCACAAGAAACAGTCACAGATTCAGCTCCGTTCCCTTGTTCTTATTATTAAGTTGTACGGTGATGTATCTGCAAACTGTATGTGCAACCAGAAATACAGCCAGAGACGCTGCACAGAAATGCCTGGCGGATGATTATTTGGCAAGAAATAGTTCCAGTACATAGCACAGCAACTTGTTATTTAGTGAGATTTAGAGCTGTTGGTTAGTGTATTTCTTAACTTTGGATAGAGGCAGGCTAGCTGTTTCCTCTTGTTTCAAGTCTTTATGCTAAGCTAAGCTAACCACATCATTTCTGACGACAAAGTTACGAACTGGAACTATTTCTCTAAATAATGACAGGATGAGGTTTGCAGTAATGGTACGTGGACTAAGATTTTATCCCAAAAGAAACCAAAGAGAAAGACTAGAGAGGAAGATGATTGAAGCCTCAAAACCTTTTGTGACAAAGAAGTGTATAAAGATCACAATATTATATCAGGTCAGACGACATAAAGACAAAAAAGATTTAATATTAAAAACCAAAATGACTTGTAAACACTAAGATTTTTACATTGTGGGAGAATATTTGGATTTCACTGTTAAACCCAACTTTCATTTGGGCGATATGACGAATCTATGCGGTCCTAATTAGTGTGTCTGTAACACTTTTCTCTGCTGCAGCCTTTCCTTTGAGATTTACACTCATAAGATGGATTTCTACAGAGAAATCCTACCGAGAACAACATGAGAGCCTCTTAGTGGACAACTCTCTCCAGAAAACCACTCATTTCTGTGTGTGTGTGTGTGTGTGTGTGTCCTACAGCACATCAATAATGACCACATCCACGGAGAGAAGAAGGAGTTTGTGTGCCGCTGGGAGGACTGTTCGCGGGAGCAGAAGCCCTTCAAAGCTCAGTACATGCTGGTGGTTCACATGCGGCGGCACACAGGGGAGAAACCACACAAGTGCACGGTGGGTAACGGATGGCCTCGGCGCCCCCCCAACGGGCCCTCGCAGGGGCCCCGGAGGGCGGCAGCTCATGCTCTCTAAACACTGTCAACCATACACACTTCTACACACGTGTAGTTTTTCAGATACTGTAGGTAAAACACACACAAACACACACCCCTGGGAGGGCGGGAAAGAAGATTTCTTTTCTTCTTCTACTCATTGCAGATTATATAAATGCATTAATCTTACAGCAACGTCTTCATCTGTGCTTTTCTATGTGAAATAATTAAAATACATCGAGGCTAAGAGGTTAAAACGACTTTCACTGCTACTTACATTACATTACAATTGCAGACTGACGTCAATAGATTTATGAACAGGATTATTTATGTCTGTGTTGTTAACAACTTACTTGAATTAAGTTAACTTTGTAAACATAAGCAGACTGAATCCTGTAGACATACTATTGCTATATATGTCTACAGGATTTTAAATTATTGTTTGTAGAGCGTTATCAGAGGTCGAATTCTTCCTAACTTGGCCCATTTTCTTTTCCTGTTTCTCTGCAGTTCGAGGGCTGCGCTAAGGCCTACTCCCGTCTGGAGAATCTAAAAACCCATCTGCGCTCGCACACCGGCGAGAAACCGTACGTCTGCGAGCACGAAGGATGCAACAAAGCCTTCTCCAACGCCTCAGACCGAGCCAAACACCAGAACAGGACACACTCCAACGAGGTAAAGACTCTCCACCGCCACTGTCCTCCCTTGCAGAAGAAATTCTCTCACAGAGCTGAAATCTGAAGGGAGCCGAGGTGAAACACCGTCGACTGCGACCCAAATTTCCTCCCTTTGTTCTTTTGCAGCACAGGATGATAATTCCCATCCTGTTTCTAAACTGCGCGTTCGCCTCCGTACAGGTGTGGACGGCCACGTTTGTGTGTCGCTTCACTGCCCCCGTATATGTCTGCAGACCAGTTTGTGAGTAAATAACGAGGTGTAGACATAATGAGCACGATGGCCCCACAATGCATTAGGGCGAATCATGCTCACCCCCTCCCCCTGCGCACCGCTGAGTGGGACCACCTGCAGACGGCGAATAGGAAATGAAACCTGGCAGGGTTTCAGAAACCTCGCCGCTTATCCATCAGTGGGAGTGCAGAGAGGGATTTCACACACTGAGGGCTCTCATACCACACACACACGCACCTGTACGCCAACATTTACTGTAAGCAGACCAAATCCAACTTTCAGACCACAACAACAATAAGTCAGCTGACCTGAAACCAGCTTGAAAATAAGGACACAACTTCCCAGAGCTCAAGGTGTCAACCTCCTTTTGGTTTGCTGTAACTGATCCATCCGTCGGGGTAGCAGTTACGTTACGTTCTTACTTTGGACTGCTTGCATGTACAAACTTTAACCATCATTTGTATATTTCTTTGTGTCTGTAGAAACCCTACGTATGTAAGATCCCCGGCTGTACGAAGCGCTACACAGATCCCAGCTCTCTCAGGAAACATGTGAAGACGGTCCACGGCCCTGAGGCGCACGTCACCAAGAAGCAGCGCAGCGACCTGCCGCCGAGGCCGCCGGCGCCCAGGGAGAACGGTGAGAACGAGGCGGGGGACAGAGAGAGAATCCAGAGGGAGGACAAGATGTCAGACAGCAGCTCCCACAGAGGCGTGGAGGACTACCTGCACGTCAAATCCATCAAGACGGAAAACTCTGTGGTAAGCAAAGTGATGAAGAATATTTTACTAAAGTAGATTTTACTGGAACAAAAATAACTTCTTTGCCTAATAAATTATCATAAATTAAAATATACTGAATATACTCAACCAACCTGCAGTACATCCAGTGTTATGTGACTGTTACTAAAAGGGAACAGACTAAAATAGAGTTGTGTCTCCATACTAACTGCACTTTACTCCCTTCACAGTAGTAACTTCCCTCTTTGTTAATAGAGACATTGAGTATTGACTTGTAATCTATCAGTCCTGCAAATAACAACAACACGCCTCTTTATCCTAACCTCTCTTCTGCTTGCTGCTTTCTTCATTTCTCTCCCTTTCTCTAACTTCCCTAATGGACAGACCTTGCTAAGGTGAGCTCACCTTTCACCATTTTTACACCATCTTTCGGCCATTTTCCTCCATCAAATAAACAGTTTCATTCCAAAAAGAGATAATGACCAATGAAAAAAACACGGCAGGAAGCACTACGAGGTGCTTGTGATACACAAGCAGGTGAACAGCCCCTAATATGAAGCTACAGGAGCTATGATTTTTACCATTAAGTAATGAAATCATGTTGTTTAAAATGTAGATATTGTTCGACATTTTGGAATCAAAATGTACTTGACTGCTCTTCAGCTGCAGCAGCAGGATTTTGTTTTCTAAACTCACACTGCATGTCATCTCTGATACCTATGTACGTCACCTTTCCTTTTCCCAGGCAGTTTAAACATACAGTTGAGACCTATCAAACACACGTCAGAGCATGAACATGATAAAAGCCACTCCAGGATTAATATTCAAACACTGGGAGTTTGTTTAGGCGCTCTGTGCAAACAGAGCCAACTATCACGCTGTGATCAAGACAGCTTTTAGCAGCGAATATATCTGAGTGCGAGTTTGGTACGGGATAATTCAGAGCGACATTCAATGATTTCAAAGTGTAAGACAAAGTGTAAGATCAGTAGTACTATTTGAGTTGGTTCCCACATGAGTAAAATATACAATACAACTAAGAAATAAAAAATTTAGTGCAGGTGAAAGGCCCTCAAAGTCTTTATTATAAATTTAACTAAAACAAGCCACTGTGAAAAAGCTTACTCACCTAAATGTTAAAAAAGTCTCCACCCTCAGAGTTCAATTTTGGAAAGAAAAAACGTGATCACATCTCGTGATGATTGGTCTGGCACTCCGGCTTGGGCTCAAGCAGCCTTTCATCCTACCCATTTCTAATTCACAGACAGACTAAGATGGTCTGTAATCTGTGGTGCACCCCCCACCTCTTCACCCTATCCCAAAAAACACTCATTATTTACAATTAAGCTGGGGAGGATAAAAGACTCAATGATTCACTGTTCTTCGTGCCATGCCAACCACTGTTCCACTTTTGTTCTGCTAAGAAAAACTGTTGGACAAACAGTTGTGTCTTTTTTGCTTCTCTCATGCTCTTTCTATCACTTCCTTCCTCCATCCCTTTGTTTAGATGTATCAGTCCAGCCCTGGCGGTCAGTCATCATGTAGCAGCGAACCATCACCACTTGGCAGTGCCACCAACAATGACAGTGGAGTAGAAATGGCGGTGCACAGCGGGGGAAGCCTGGGGGACCTCAGCACCCTGGATGACCTGCCCTTTGTAGAGTCCTTGGGCTGTGAAGATTCCACCGGTGGGGTTGCGGTGGCGGGTCTCCACTTCCGAAAGCAGCTAGCCACCAGCCAGCGCCTGGAGCATCTGAAGAAGGAGAAGCTGAAGACAGTGAGGGACTCGTGTCGGTGGGCCAGCAACCCTACACCCCTGGTCCTCGGCACCAAGCTCCCACCCATACCAGCAGGCGGTAAGTAGAGAGTAAAGCAGGATGGTTAGACTAAAGCTGCATTCAACTTCTGACCATATGGCACCAGGACATTTCCACAACAAACTCCAAGTATTCAGTAGCCTTATCTCTGGTTTAGTCTCCACCAACTATTGAGAAAAATATCTGACTAATTACTAGTGTACTTAAAAGGCTAAAAAGCTTGAAAGAGCAGCCACATTGGTGAGAAATCAAGTGTCCAACATTTTCATCTGTTTATCCACAGGGTCCCTCCTGGAGAGTCCAAGTATGGGTGGTGGTCCGGTGTCCTTCCCTGGTTCCGGCTTGGGTGATCTGAGCTCTGGTAAAATGACTCTACTAGAAAACCTTTCAGAGCGCCGTGACAGCACCTCCAGTACCCTAAGCTCAGTTTACACCCTAAGCCGCCGCTCCTCAGGCATCTCCCCTTGCTACTCTAGTCGGCGCTCAAGCCAGGCCTCGCAGTTCAGTGCCAACCGCCCCAGCAACCTTAGCTCTGCCGACTCCTACGACCCCATCTCTGCAGACATCTCACGGCGCTCCAGTCAGGCCAGCCAGTGTGGGGGAAGCAGCGGAGGAGGGTACGAAGGAAGGGGCTTACCCAGCCCCCTCAGCCTGACCCCAGCCCAGCACTACCATCTCAAGGCGAAATATGCTGCTGCCACTGGAGGTGCACCACCTACGCCTCTTCCATACATGGACCGAATGTATCTAAAGACCCACACAGCCCTGTACAGCGACTCCCAGGAATCCTCCACCATCAACAAAATACCTTCCAGGCAGTACAGCAGCTACACCACGTGGAGCTTGATGCCCCATGAGGTCCCGTCTAACATCCCCCGCAGAGCCAGTGACCCTGTGAGACGCGTAGGCATGGATTATCTCAGCCAGCCACAAATGCAACGCTACAATAGCATGGGCACACTGAGCGGAGGTGTCACCATGCAGCCCCATCCACCTCTTGCAGCAGATCGCCAACAGTTATTATCACAGCAAGGCTGCCTGCGCTCGGATGGTAGTCCCCACCGCTACCCTTACAGCGTTCGACCGCCCAGTATTTCAGAGGACGTCACCATGGAGATGATAACAGGTGACATCCCTCAGGAAGACCTGATGCTGCCTGACCTCAGCACTGACAACAGACACAACAGAGAGAATCAACAAGATTTCCAAGGAACCCCCAATCTGCAGCAGCAGTGGTACAATCAGAGAAGGATGGCCATCGTGAATACCAACATGAACCTGCCCAGTCAGGTTCTGGCCACCTCCAGCACAAGTTCATCTTCACAGAGAGATAGTAAGGACAACTTACTCCTTCAGTTGAACAAAGTCTCTTTGGGACCAATGGATGACAGCCAGCACTACTCCAAACTACAGGTCAAAGGAAACCTTGCTGTCCTCCAACAAAACTTTGGATCTTTTCACAACAATCTCAGTTCCAACCAGCGAATGATTCAAAACCCTGCTAACACAATACAGCAGAGATGTAAACAGTTAAATAACGAACCAGGAGCAAACTGCTTCCAGCAGCAGAGATTCCAGCAGTCATCAAATCTCAATGAAGGAATAAGCTCTCAGTACAGGTTCAACAAAGGCATCAGTCCCTATGATAAGAATGGTAACACCACCTGTCCACCTTTTAATAACACAACAGCAGTCAACGGGAGCATGCTGAGCCCCACATGCAAACAGGAGCCAGCTGACATGGATACTATTGACATGCATTTTGCTGATGCTGGATTTCAGCCTGTGCAAGTTAAAATTGAGGACTGTGATGGATCAATCATGATTTCAGATCAGCAGAACTGTAACATGGCCTCCCACAATCCCTTGCAAAGTGGGATTCAGAGGCATCTCCAACCAAGGCCACCAACAGTACCTAAATCTCAAAACAGGCACCTTTCGGGGCCAAAGGTTATGCTGCAAACAAGGCATCCAAGTAATGCTAACCTGGATGTTGCTTCCAAATTACCCAGTAGTGGAGTTTTAGGACTTCATTGCAGCGACAACTCTGATGACAATGCCGTGTATTACACAGGGCAGATTCGAGTATTTGAGTCCAACGGGAACTTGGACCATCAAGTGTCCCCTGTAGTGACTGTACCTCCTTTTGAAGATGAGGCAGCGTCTCCAAGTTCAAACAACAACAACCGGGCATCCAGGACTGTAGACTGTAACGCAGCACTGGAGCAGGCCCAGATAGACTTTGATAGCATGCTGGATGATGGGGATCACTCCAGCCTTATGTCGGGAACCCTGAGTCCAGGTCTGCTCCAGAGCTTGTCCCAGAGTTCCTCTCGCCTGACAACGCCCAGGAACTCGGTGACATTGCCCTCTGTGCCGGTGGCGACGGGAAACATGGCCATCGGGGACATGAGCTCGTTGCTGACTGCTCTGGCAGAAGAGAACAAATTCCTCAACTTGATGTCTTAGCCACACGTCGTTGCGAACTGTTTTGACCGTCAGAAACGTATTTGCAGAATTTTTTAACTCCAGATGCACAATAAACATTCAAACAACTTGATGTGATTGTGTGCCAAAAAGCCTCTGCAATATGTGACTCTTGTTTTCCTGTACAGTCTCATTTGTTAATTATTTAAAATGGCCGTTTTCTATCCTTTTTTGAAAAGCCATGTTTTAGTTTTTTTGCCTTAGGTATAGTAAATATGATGTAAACAACAGAATTATTTCAGTTGTTATACAGGTCTGCAGTAAGATCAGTTTACTAAGTGCCTGGCTCAGCCAAAACATATGCATGTTGTGCATATGAATACATCTAAAATGTGTAAATGCAACCAGGTAATTATCTGATATTCGCATATTTGGAATGTACCATCAGCACTCACTTGTTTTACACTGTAAATTACTTGAGCTATTCTATATCAAGTTGCTCATTTCTGCTGCAATCTTTTTTCTCCCATCAACACAGCATTTCAAGTATACAGTCACAGTCTTCAGTGAGCCGTTATTTGATTGCTGCATTGCTGCTGAGATTAACTGTGACTTCTCCAGTGTCAGGCATCAGAGACTTGATTTGTGGCTGAATTATGAACCCATGCATTGATAAATCGGTTGTGCTCTGGCAGCAAGAAGAGAGAATCAAGCTTTTTCCTTTTGTACATTAGTATACCAGTTTGTTGTGCTGGATAAATGTAAATATCATTTGTACATTTTTAAGAAATACAAAATTGACATTGATTTTTTTAAACAACTACTGTTTGTGTTGTCCTTCATTTAATACAGATGTTTTATGTGTGTGTCATGACGTTTCTAATTGCCTTTAAAACCCAACTGAGAGTTTTCTGCTCTAATAATGATCACTGTTTCCTCATCTGCCATCTTTGTTGGGGTCAGAGAAAGATCATGTTTGGGTTACAAAACTACAACTTTGTTGAGGCCTTTGTCATGATGGTTAAACAAACTACTTGGTAAAGCTTGAGGAATGATATTGGTCATGGAAATGGGAATAAATTCATGAGTCAAAATCACAGTTTATCACCCCAGCCTCCTTCCTACAAAAGTTTGCAGCACTAAAACAAAGTCGCACTACTATCTCCTTAGCTCTAACAAACAAACATGGAGGCCACTGTAGTCAGCGTTACAGTTTCAGTAACAAGACAATGTGCAGTGGAAGTTGTGAGCAGATGACAACGAGGACGAGGAGAAAGTCACTTTTTTTGCGAGTTTCAAAAACACTGTAGTTTCTCCTGTATGCTCGGAGTGTGAGGCAGGGGTGCTGCAATCAGTGCTAGACAGTGTTGGGCTAGTTACTCCCAAACATTTGTATTTATTACTCTTTTCAAAAGGAATAATGTTACTTTACCTATTACTCCCTGCCAACAGTAATCAGTTACACTACTAGTTACATTACTTCTCTGCTACTTTCCACAATATTGGTAATCATGTCGCTTTCTTATGACGATTAAAATCCAGTTTTGTTTGTTAAAATCAAGAATATTTTCATGATGTGATTGGATTGTTTGATTTCAGATCTACACACTGGTCCTTTAAAGTGGCATTCATTCATTCATTTTATATTCATTATCTTTATGTGGAGACTCACACACGTTCCAACATGTGCTGTCATCTTCTGCTTCTTGTGGAGTAAATATTATTCATCAGTCCGTCCCCTGATTGCTTCCTGAAGGAGGAGGAGTGTTGATCGCTTCAATAATTCAACAACAAAACTTTTGTCTTTGAAGCCACGTTCCCTGAACCCTTTGCCGACAACACACTTTCCTCAAACCTTTCTTGTCGAGTGTGAGACTGAGACGCCACACAATCTCAAGACTTTGCACGACCTCTTTCAAGGCAGCTTTGAAATAACTTCCCCTGACCTCGTCTTACCTCGCCGGCAAGAGCAGGCTTGACATAATGTAAATTCTCACTCAGAAAGCTGATGAAAAAGGACGCTAACAGGAGGGGAAAAGGGCTAGACGCGTGCAGAGCGGCTGCTGCTACTGCAGTTAGCCCGTGTGTACTTCAATATTAGCTCTGACAGAGCGGCCCAGAGGACGCAGCTGCTGAAACCACATAAAACAAAAGCAGAGAGGAGCGAGAGGTTCCGGGGACGCAGCGCTGAGCGTTAGTGAGAGGAACAAATGATTTTAGTCTGTCAGGGAATTCAGCCGAGGATACGTTTGATCTGGAGTTTGTGATTGCTTTTGCCACTGGAATTCCTTATTCTCTCAGAGATGTGAAGTGGGAGAGAAAATAGCCCCGGGCAGTGAAATCCAAACCAGGCCCCGAACAAGAGGTGCAGATAAGACTTGCAAAGATCGTGCATTACCAGCACCTTCATTTATTGATGGAGATAACTGAGTGAGAAAAGATGAAAGATGGCTTTCAGCCAATAAGCTCATAGATTATAAATGTAATTATAGTTCGTTAGAAAAGAAGGGTTTTCAATCAGCGAAGTACAAAATCAAAATAGGATGATTTTGGTTTAACATTTTGCAGCAGATAGTACTTTTACTTTGGTACTTCATATTAAGTATTTGACCTTCACAAGGTATTTAGTAAAATAAGTAAGAAGAAGCTCAAAGAAACAGATCAGACATCGGTTTAAACTTTCACATTAAGTTAATGTATGACATCAAAATCTACTTACTGAAACATTTCCTCCTCCTGCAGAAGTCTGTGAAACCATCAGCCGGCACTTTAAACTTTGGGGGCCTGTTCAGTCAGTAAACACACAGTGATCCATCAGAAATGTCAGCAGAGCTAAAATACTGCAAAACGCTCTCCCAAAAAGTGTGACATGAAAATCGAGTTGAAAATGTCTCCCAGACTTTGTCAATTACAAGTGCAAGGCTGATCATGGTCAATATCAATCCCATTTTATCACGTGATCCCTCCACTTTCAATCATCTAATAAAGGAATGAAGAAAGACCTACAGGAAGCTCTGGCATTGTGGGATCATGGGAGTTGTTGTCTTCACCACGATTGCCATCACTGCAGTCAGCTTCTCCTGGTTTGACCGGCTCAAGGCCTGGATGAAGAGTCCTGCACTGTGGCTCTTCAGGAAGCTCTTCACCTCTATTCTGACTCTGTTGGAGTATGTGTTAGAAGGTGTTTTAGTGCTAGATATTTTATTACTTGTAATGATGAGCTGATTGAGCTCCTTGCGGCAGACATTTTCCTCCTCAGTTGTCGTCCTGCGTTCTCCACAGCTGCACCTGTAAAGGTTCAGGTTATGTCAGTGTGACTACAGGTACTGTCAATATATATATATATATAGTGTAGTCACATTAATACTGATATTGCAGAGGTAACAATACAATAACAATAACAACAACTTTCTCTGATTCTTAAAACAACTACAAGAACAAATGACACATTAAACTTCGTCTCTCGTTTTAATAACGAGCTGAACTCGTCGCGGGGCAGTAAACGGGGCCCGTCTGCTGGGAGTTTAAAGGGCTTCGGAGGAATGTGTTTTACGGCGAACGCTGCATTCTCCGCCATCTCTCGGGGCTCCAAGTTAGAGGGACTCTTTATGACCCACAAGCTTTTCAAAACACTCAACACACACACACACACACACACACAGCTACCGACTGTAAAGACTTTAGCCTCAGTCTGTTAGATGTTATCTAGTTTTAAGCCACACTTGGGAGAAGGTAACTTTAGTGACAGTAATGGCGGTGACGACAACAACTCCCATGATCCTATGCTGCTTCACATCATCATCAAACTTGATCTTCTGTTATTGTTTTGATTTGAGAGACCCCCTAGTGGCAGAAATGACATATTGCACCTTTAATCAGGTCTTTAAACAGGTGTTTTCCAACGCACATGGTTCATTTTCTCATTTTCTTTGCTTTTTACTTCTGTGGTTGCCCGTTTAGCCGGAGCCACCTGCGACACCACCCACCACCACGCAGTCACCAGCGTTCTGTGTGGCCAGACGCCAAGTCCCAGCCGCTGAAATGACGATACGGCTGCCACCGGCTCAATTACAGCTCTGACAGCCGACTCTCCGCTCTGACCTCCACCGTCCTCTTCCTTCCTTCCTCCTGACGACACCACATCACATTACCAGAGCTCTGCATTATTGCATTATTATTACACATGTGACAGTCTAACAATCCGTCCTCCAGCTCCCGGTGTCAGCCCGGATGATGGATAGCGCGCCGCGGTCACCGATGCCTCATTCATTTCTATTAGACTAATATGTGAATCCCCCCTCCAAGAGTTCAGGACGACGATATTAATTTAGGAATCAATTTCACAAGCTTCTGGTCAAACTGGCAGTCGAGGAGTCTGTCTGTCTCTATTTGTGTCCGCCTACATCAGACAACCAGCCCCGAATGTGAGCGAGAAAGCGCCGACACGCACAAAAAGTAAACTGAGGACAAAGAATCAGCATCTATCCATGAGGCTGCAATGTTCACGATACATAAAAAACGTGTTAGACAAATACTCATGCGGCTCCTGCAAGTACAGAAAGGGTCAAATTCCCCTTGAAATCAATGAGATGAGGCAGCAGAAACACTACTGATTGTGTCCACAAGGGGGCGCCAGAATCAGCACACAATGAAAGTTCCTTGTTGCTGCTTTAAATAAAGTGACAGTGTGTCAGTAGTGGACAGAGCTTCCAGGTGTCTAAAACCTGCATTCTTTCTAATGGCCAGCAAGGGGGGAACAACATGGGTTGCAAAAAAAGCAGTCTGATAGTATTGAGTCCTACGGAGAAATGAGCCGACTTCTCTCTTGATGTATGAGCTCAGTAAACAGTTTCCTAATGAGTTTATGGTCTCAATCTCTAGTTCCAGTCTTCTTCCATACTGCATGATGTTCATTTAGTAAATGATG